TGCATGTTTTGAAAAATATCCCTGCAGTGGTATAGGGAGATGAAAAATGGTTCCTGTCTCTAACAGAATTGCTTGTGTTCACTGAATACTGGCACTATCACTACTGTTGGTTTCCTTAGTACAAAAATTACCTTGATGCCTTTGACAGATAATCAAACCATAATGGAAAATGGGCACAGGTACAACTGCCACTTTTTAGGATAGCCAGAAAAGTTTTTAACAGCCAAATTACAGCAGGATTTCCTTACAAGAGAGTTCACAAACAATGCAGATGGTTTACATTTCTCTTCTGTGTGTATGAAGTTTCTCAGATGAAAAGTCAAGCGTAGTTTCACAGTGTGCTTCATGCAGAACCTGTGTTAACTCTTGCACCATGCTGTTTTTTTCTGAAAGCGTATTAGGTTACAGTGATATTAATGATAAACACTCCTCTATATTAACCTGAAATATAGAAAATATTGTCATGAATCTACATTTTGAAATTGTTAAGCTTTGAAGGGCAAATAATAGAAACATTAAAAGGTTGCAGCTGGTGCAGATGATTGCTAGTTGCAGCTCTCTAGTTATTCAGCATGAGGATGAGATTGTAGTGACAAACTGCATCCTCCCTGAAATCTGTTAGTGTAGACAAAAATATCTCTGAATGTTTGCACCAAACCTGGTGCTGGTTTTTGTTCCGCCTCCTCCCTCCTTTTTATTTTAACTGATAATTCCAGTCTTACATAAATGTGAACCCTTGCAAGATTTATAACAGTCTGCATTTCTTTCTCACAATATAAGGGATTGTTCAGCATCAGGAAACTTAATGCTTGAGTAACTGTATTTGTATTAATACAGCCTGAAGGCTGTCTGTGTGTTGAATACTTTGCGATTTTTGTAAAAAGGGGCATCTGCTCTCCCTTTGCTTCACCTTCTAGACTTGTCATAGATGTACATTTTTAATACTTCTAAAAATGAGTAAATACTTCTTCAGTGGACAGTTTAGTTTTACTTTTGGGTTCTGAGTATTTATTTTCATTGCAGGTGTTAGTTAACTCAGTGCTAGCTTAAGTTGTTGTTTTAAAAACTCTCAGACATTGATAAATGTGGTGGATACCCTTAAATTACATTGTGAAGAAATCCAAATGTAGTTCTCAAAGTTGAGGACCTCTCTTTTAGTTTTCAAAACAATGTGATAGAAAGAAGGTATTGGGAAGAAACAACATTATGAAAATGGGATAAAAAGATAAAATGGCCTATTATAATCTTAACCAAGTGCATACCTCAGAACATGATTTCATGACTATTAAAATATGCCATATATATTTGCATTCTTAAAGAAGATTCTGATCATCCCTGTCCACTGTTTTCTCATACAATCAGAGTGGTTTGCTTTTAAAAAGCTAGTATTCTGTAGTTGCCTACCAAGGAACCTAACGTCTCTAGTCTTCCCTTTGAACGTCTGTTTTCAAATGTTTGTTACTATCTTTTACCTCTGAAAGTCATCACCTGCTGAGCAGGTTCCAAGTGCTCAGAACCAAACCCGTGCATGCAACTGTTCTTACAGGCAATGCGGGCCAGAAACCTCACCTCTGTTGCAACTAGCGTGTGCTTCCATTAAAATGTTATTACTTTACTGTTTGCATTTCTTTAACTGTTTTTAGCACTCGTGTTGGAACATCCAAAAATGTATATAAAAATCTTGGTTAAGAATATCTGGTTTTGAAAAAAAAAAATCACAAATACTGAAGCAGACCTTTTGAAAATATTTATGCGCTACTAGGCCTGCTTTGCAGAGACTTGATGAAATTTCTCAATATTCACTTTATCCTAGTTATAATTTTTTTAATTGCTTACTTTTGCCATTCACTGTCTGAATTTTATTAAAAATTTACTTTTAAATGTTCATTCTGACATTGTTATAATTAATTATTTGGTAAAACCAAAAACTCTGCATGAGAAAATAAGTTTTATTCTCTATTGTTTAGACAAGCTTGCCGTGTTCCCTGAAAGCACATGTGCCCTTTAAAACACTGGGATTACAAAACATATTTCAGCTAATTGGAAAGAGGATGTAATTACAATTAAACTGATTTTTCCTGTAATCTCATCCAAAAACCTGAACTCTTTTTAATTCCCTTCTTTGTTTCCCTACTGATGAGGGCAACGTAACAGACTGATTCCCTTGCACAGTTTTGACTGCTGGACTCTCTATATCTGTGGCATAACAGTGTTATCTTTCAGGGACTTACCTATGTAGAGCTTCCACCGCTGTCATTGTAAAGGAACACTTGTGAATTGATTATTCTTTTTATTTTTTTCTTCTTCATAAGAACACATCCCTAGAATACATCTGCTCAATAAATAGTATAGGGCAGTATCTGCTGTTAAAAGAATAGCTCTGAGGTGGAGAACATTCCTTTGCAGACAAGGATCATGCATCTCTACCATTGGAATGAAATTTTACTCTAAGAAGGTCCTTATGTTTTTTGCTACATGGGCTGATGTGATAATGATTATGTCTGCATGTTATTTTTCAAGCAGACGTGGATTTGCTTTGTCTGGACCCTAAGCTGATCAAAAGCTTTGCAAATGGAATTAGTGCTGTCCTGAGCTAATAAACCCTGACTTATAGGCATGTATATTCCTGTGGCCTCAAGTCAAGCTTGGTGTGAGAGTAGAGCAACCTCACGTTTGCCTGCCAGCCTTTTGTAGACATACCCTGAATCTGGTCTTTACTTCTGCCCAGACTGGTGCAGCAGCAGTTCAGTGGCAGTTGCTGTAGTAGTATACTTACCATTGACAGGGCCATAGATGGTCATTTGTGTTATGCTGTTGGCTGGGCACATCGCCATGTGACTTGGCAATGAGAATAAAAAAGTCCCAAGACAAGACACTCTGACTTTCTCTCGGCACATGTTGGGTAAACATAAGTGTGTTGGAGACAGCTAAGTTTCTTCTGTATTCACCACACCATTTACAATACTAAATTTTCCTCATTTTTTTAACCTTATCTCTCTGTAATTAAAAAAATAAATATTGTGTGTGATTATGATGGAAAATAAAATAAGTATTATTGTAAATAATTTTAGAGGTATTGGACAGTAGGTTTGCAAATAGTCAGACTAAAGATACAGAATGAGCTGAAAGTAGTAATCTCACAGGATTTATCTTTTCCAATCAGAGGTGACCTGAAGTATTTCTGTCATCAGCCAGGAAAGTCAGAAGATGATGGGAACCAAAATTGTGTTGCTTTAGCCCATTTAGGGAGAGGAGACTTTTATGTAATTTAGCAAAAAATCAAAGAATAAGGTTGAGCCTGTGTCCTATGGAGTGAAAAGTTGAACTGGTAGGGATTTAGAGTCTCTACTGTCAACATTAAAAAATTGCAAGTGAACTGCAACATTTCAATGTTCTTGTTGCTGATTTGACTAAAAGGAAAATGCAACATTGACTAAAAGGAAAATGCAAATGCAAGGAAAATTTTAAGTACTGAAATATGTATTGTTGATGAGATGACTGATGTTGCTAGAATTGAACCATCTTTATGACAATAAAGAGAAAAGCAGCTGTTAACTGATTTTTCAGTTTTCTGTCCTAAACAAGCTTGCTCCCCTTTTTCTTATCTAAACAATCTCCATTTGCCTGAGATCATAACCAGAATTATTGTCCGAAAACATTTTCTGGGAAATGTGGATGGTTGGAATATCAAAATTAATCTTAGAGTGGAAAATATGATGATATTACCATTTCTAATTCTGTTGCTACCAACGAAAGTATATTGTTGTGCCAGAATCATACATTCATATGCCATGCATTAAGCAGACAGCTTCTAAAATTTCTGCTTAAATGACCTAAATTATATATAAACAGTGGCACATTTGTATATAATAAAGTATTTATGTATTAAATATACAGAAAAGGTGTATATGCTGAAACTTCATGGACATCTGGAGTATTGAGATAAAGTTATGATTTCCAGCTGGAAAATGACAATTTTTAAGCAAGTCAGTATGATGTATTTTAAGATAATAGACCACACAGTTAATTTCGATCTCAGTGTAATTCAAACAACTGTATTGTGGTCAAAAAAAA